TTCGAACGTAGTCGGATACCTTAACGTCGTATCGTTATCATTAGTGTGTTTGAACATACGAGGGAACGGCTTTTCACTTTTGGCTGCATAGTGAGGCATTCGGCGACTTTATTTGATAAAAGTGATTGATAGTGTATATAATGCGTAAGTATTTTAAAAAAGGTATACAATAGATTTTTCACCAATTTTTACGCAATTTTTCGTATAGTTTATTGCCTCTTTATTTTATGTAACCGGTTTTTGATCGACGAAGAGTGCATCTCCATTTTTAAAATATATACTTTTCTTTTTTTGAGGGTGGTTCTTTACACGGGTTTTCGGAGAATTTATATACCACACAAAAAAGTAGATTTATTAAAATGCAAGTAGTTAATGTGGTTTTAGCACGCATCACACAGTGTGACTTTAAAAACTCTTATTTGTTTTATAAACACGCCCAAAGGTGTATATATATATATATATATATATATATATATATTAATTTACAATAAAATAGACAGAATATGGGGAAAATTTTATAAATGTAAGAAAAAAATAGATTTATTTAAACAACATTGAGTAGTATAAAAAAATAGAATACTTTTGATGAGGTGATAAAATCGTATTTTAATATCAATACACACATACATAGAAGCATTTTGCAACATCTAAAAAGTATTTTTACCTTAATTATTTTATTCCACCAATTGAAGTTAAAGATTTATTACGACGTTCGTGAACAAAGCTCATACCTTTCTACTTTCTGGGGAAACGTTTGATATCCCCGTCCTCCTTTTTTTTTATGCTCGCAATGCAATTCAAGTAGTTAAGGTGTTCCCAGCATAAAATATTTTGCTATCCTATTGCAACTTAGGTGTCCGCAAACGTGTTAATATGATCTATTATTTTTATTTATTGCTTTTGTAAGATTTATTCTAAGACGGAAGAATTGAATCACACGTCATTTAACAAACTATATAAATTTCATCGCGAAAATTTTGAAGCTTCCTGGCTAATTCTGCATATTTAAGGTATCCGAATACTTGCAACAACCTTTAAAAAAATGGAGAAATGGGGATTTTCTTGTGGTTTTGAGATTTTTTTTAGTACATTTTAAGAAAAATATGCTAAAATTAAGAAGAGGAAAAGAAGTTATTATTACTAAAATGGGAATAAATTGGTAAAAATTTACAAAAAGTAACACATAAACGAGGCTCATTCTGTACCAAAAGTTTATGATCAAACTTTCAATTTTTCATTTCTGATGTGTTGCTGTGTGTTATTCCTTTTTTAAATGACCTTCAGAATAAGAGATATTTTAATTTTTACAAAAACTGGAACACTTTATCTCTTAGTTATCATACGACATTGCTTTAAAAAAATGATTATATTCACATAAGGGACTGTAAATTTTGTAATGAAGCAGTGATTGTGTGATAAATCTGAAAGTTAAAACACATCTACTATTATACAGAATGCACACAAAAATTTTCAGTGAATTATTTTCAAAACTTTTTGAGCAATCACGGTCCCCGAGAGCATTTTCAAAAAAAAAAAACACACACACACACACACATTTTGAGTAAAACGCATTTTTTAAAGTATGACATCTTGCTTAAAGTAATGACATCTGCTTTTACCAAAACACTTGTAGTTTTTGTTTTAATTAATGGAAAATAATGAACTTGGTATTTTTTATAAAGCTAATAAGGGGGCCTATACAATGAAGTCAAAAAAAATTGTCAATTTTTGACAAAATCACAATTTTAGGATAGTTGGGTATACCTTAATAAAAAAACAAATCTTTATAATTCACAACACCTTACGTAATCATATCGCATTATCATATCATTAATTTAGTAATAAGGATAATTAATAAAAATTGTGTCAACTAAGATATATTTTCTAAAATTCTTAGTTAATGGAACAATCTTAAGGACTCAATTAGTCGAATATTATCTATCAAATATATCGAAGGATAAAGGAAGATTGATTGTTCTGAAGAAACTTAAATTCTTCTTAAAGTATTAAAATTAAAATGGCACATCAGCAATACTACGAAAATATTTAATGAAGATTTCGAGGCACTTTTAAGAGTCATAAATCAAACATACAATTTTTTTGGTAATTTAAAACAATGATGCAGTAACATTGCTAAATAAACTGTAACCAGAACAGATTTTTGTTTCGGAAATTTGTTATTTTTAAAAAATGTATATCGTCCATGTCTTTGAAAGTTTAATTTATGATTCTATTATAGATGATATTTTATGTATTATGATTTAAATTTTTCCTTGCAATTTAAACAATAAATATATTTTTAATTGATGTTGTTCCCTATTGTTGATGGAACCACGGTATTATCAAATGATGAGGACTTCACTTTACGCATTCCTAATTTCCCCTTTACACTAACAAAAAACTTTGATATAAAGTTTCCACTTCTTTTTTTTTATTATTATTTATTTTTTTATCTTTCATTATTTTATTTCTGTAAAGCATCTTAGGGGAGATCCAGTTATCCCGATTCAAACTTATGACCTTGCAGCTGCTATATACTGAAATTTTATTGCTAGACTACCACATCACACCATTGATTGAATAGAAACTTTCTTAAATTTCTTTTGTTTTCAACCCCTGTAATTTATAATTGCCTTTGAAAAGGTAAGGCATGTCATGAATTTGAACCCAGTACCACTAGAGCCCCTCCATGCAGGGAAACGGTGAACGTTAAATCTGTCGAGAGCTCAAATGTCCTCCCATTGGTGTGGTGTGGTAGTTAGGAGAGGGGGGTGCCAGCTCAGGTGTCGTCCTCATCACTTGACCATGGTTCAAAATAACGAGGTCCGTCGCCAAAATCCCTCGTGTAGCTGAACAGTGCTACGTTAATATTCACTCACTCAATCACTTTGAAAAGGTATTTGTAGAACAACACGAGACAGGCATCTCAGTATGATTACTGGTTTCTTATTTCCGAGTAGGTTATAAGTATGATATCAGAGTTGTGTGTGTGTGTTTCCTAACTTCCACCCTACTCCAAGTGATAACTTATGCTCTAGTTCCGCTTAAAGTGCAACATCTCTCATTATTCTGCAAGTGACAGTTTTTTAGCGTCGTATTCTAAGGCAAAGCGAGAGCTGTTGGCGACGAACCTCGTAATTATATACCGAGCTCGACGAGGAACATATTTGAGTCGATATCCCCTTCTCCAAACTTTTACATTACAACAACGTAAGGACTTTGAGCCACGACAGATTTAGTATGCATCAGCTTCTCTACACAGTGGATCTTCAGTGGTGAGTGAGTGAATATTAACATTGCACTGTTCAGCTATTCTATGACTTTTGGCGATGGACCTTATTATTTTGAACCAAGGTCAAATGACGAGGGCAGCATCCGAACTGGTACCCTCTCTCCTCACTTCCACACCACACTAAAAGGAGGACTTTTGAGATCTAGACAGATTTAACGTGCATCATCCCCTACACGGTGGGTCGTCAGCTGTACTAGGGTCGAACTCATGACACGCCGGCAATGAGTTCATTACCTTGACCATTAGGTACCGCGCCCTTCATCGTTAGTGGTATAAGGACTCAACAGCCCCGGCCACAATCTGAAAGAGACCCATTTATGGAAATCAAGATTCAAGCCATAAAAAATTTCTATACATATATTGTGATAAAAATATTACAAAAAAAGTTATTGTTTTTCTTTAAAAAAAATTAATGAAGTGTTTATTTCTAGATTGCTTTTAAAAAAATATGAATAATAATGATAACAATAAAAGTTTTATCTACGTGTAAAATATTACAGGTATTAGGGATGTTTAAAAAAGCTTGTGCTTGATTTTAATTTCTAATGAAAAAATTTAAGTTAAATGTGATTTTACTGTTAACTAGAGTAAAAATTTAAAACATAGTGTGATTTGAGTAGAGTAAAATTTCATTTACGTCGTGAGGGAAAATTTCATAATCGAATGAAATATATCGTTTTCCTTTTTTAATTCCTCTCTACTACCAGTTCACTCTCTCCATATATATATATATACAGTCGAACCTCCATATTACGAACCTCTATATTGCGAATTTTTCTATATAGTGAACTTTTTCCTGGAACCAAGAACTTTCTTCGTAAAATAACCTCCCAATAGCAAAGTATATTTTCTACATAAAGAAATTTTTCCGTTGGGATTCAATTTTTTTTCTCCCCATTTTTAAAGTATTTCTGGAAATTTCAAGTTATTCTCTCTTTTAATGCACTTTATGGGGGTTGTAAATCTTGAAATGGTTTTATTAGATGCCTAACTCGCCGAAAGCAATGGAATTCTGGGCGTTTCAACTAGAAAGTGCAACCTTAAACCCCCATTGTCCAGTTCACTAAAACATCTTCGATATCCCCTTTCACCCTCAGTGGAGTTGTCTCGTGTCCTTGAACTAGTCTCCGTTCTTTTGTAGTGTTGATCAGTCATACTGGTAGCTTCGTTTCTTGTAGCACCAAAATGTTAAAACATAATTGCTTGAGCATCAAAGAAAAACATTTAATTCCTCAGGAAGTGAATAAAGGCGTCAAGAAACTTTCTTTGCAGTTTTTCTTTCTTCCTTTTATTTTTTTTTATAGGAAGATACATAAAATAAATATTTATTAATTTACAAGGTGTGAATAATTACTTTTTTTAAAATATATAGTGTTTATGAATATAAAATTTGTTTTATGTGGTTTATAAAGAAAATTGAAAGATGAACCTCTATATAACGAATTTTCTATATAATGAACTTCTTTTCGGGATTTAGCTACTCCGTTATATAGAGGTCCAACTGTGTATATGTGTGTGTGTGTGTGTACTTTCTATTCATCTATTAAAGTTCAAATACATTTTTTAAAGCTTGTAGTGGATGACAATTGATGTTAATACATTCTTCAAATATTTTTTTTAATTCATTAATTAAATTAAAAAATGAATAAATAGTACCAAACAAAAATAAAATCCAACAGCATATATAGAAAAGAATATCGTTCACTGTGTCCCTGTAGCGCAAAGGATAGCGAGTTGGTTTTCTAATCCAAAGGTCGTGGATTCGAATCCCACCTGGGATGGCCTAATTTCTGTGATTGTTATTTCATTTTTACTAAACTATTTTATTAGAATAGTTTAAGTTAATTAATGAATAAACCGTAGCAAGCAAAAAAAAAATAGTCCAACACCATGTATAGAAAGGAAAATGGAAAATTGCAAGGAAAATCGCTTTCTATTTTATCAGTTAATATTGTGATTCTGTCAAATGTATATACACATTTATATTATATAATTGTTACTATTTAATAAAAAAAAAGTAACTAAAATTAAAGTTTTCTTTGTTGACCTAAGTAGGAATTGACTTTCATTTTTTTTTAAATATTATTTGTCATATATTTATTTATTTGAATAGAGAAACACAACTGACATGTTCTGCATATTTCATTGATGAATTAAGCTCTATATTTTCTTCGGGCTAAAATATAAAATTTTAAAGGAGTGAAGTGACACTTTTTTGACTGTTATGTAAAACAGGAAATAATTCACCATTACAAAACCTAAGTTTTATATAAACACAACACATCTATCTCTTTCCAAAAAGATTTAACGTCACGATTTTTAAAGTGTTTATATAAACACATTGGTATATCCTTGAATGTTTATTACTCTATAAACAATGCGGAAATCACATATACGCTGATACTGAATACATCTAGGGCAGGGATGGCGAACCAGTGGTACGCGACACAATATTTTGGGCACGCCACCAATCACAACGATTTGTATTTTTTTTTTTTTCAAAATAATAAAGTTTACTATGAAATATTATGAAGAAACGCGAGGGATCGGTGGCGGGGCTGCGGGTAGCACACTCGTTTGTTATTGTCTTGCCTTAGTTACATCGTGGACTACAATTGCTTATGACGTAAAGTTTATTTACGCATGGCATAGACAATTTCGTTGACACAACTGTATTTTAAAGTTTATTTGTGTTATATTTACGATTTTTAACAGTTGTTTAACATGGCTAGTTACGCAAAAGCACAAAAAGAGCAGGATAGCAAGAGTAACAGAGAATTTCAACCTTGGGGTACCGAGGAATAGGGCATTATTAGTAAAGGCGGGAAAGTGGTGTGTGTTTTATGCTCTGGAACAGTGGTATGCAGAAACACATCTTCTATAAAAAAGGGCATTTCGAAACAAATCATAAATCCTTATTTTAAAAAAGTGAACCACAGCAAAAATAATTACTTAAAAACCATTTGGCAATTGACTCCAATTCAACATGCATTCAACTAAAAGTAACATTTTACAATCCTGATATAAGTTATTTGTCATCCACACACACACACACAATTTGCAACAACAGGAGTCACACTACTGTAACTTTATAATTTGAATTACACGTATATAACTAAGACATTTACAACTATTCAGTGCAGAAGGTATTTTTTCGCTATAAATAAAGTTTTGAGTGGTTAGTATTCAGTTTTATTATTTTCCCAATAATCACAAGTCGAAATTATTTGGCGGCCCGTCTATACCTCATTAAACACTTCTTTAAAAAAAAAAATGGCACGTTGATCCATAAAGGTTCGCCACCCCTGATCTAGGGGGGGAAATGCGTCTTTGAATTTTGGATTAGATTTGTAAACTCAAAATTAAACGAAATAAATCGATAATAAATAAGAAAAAGTATGCATACCTTCAATTATTCCAATTGAACTCCCAACTCCGGTTGTACGGTAAAAACTGTTTTTGAAATACAAATCATTATCGACACTTCCCAAAACAGCTCTGGAAAAAAAAATTGAAAAGGAAAAAGGAAAGAAAAAAAAAACTTTTTCCTCTCTTGTAGTTGACAATTCTCCTTCACCCCCGCCCACTTTTCTTCATTCCAATAGTCCATACAGGTGGTGAGAGCGTCCGAATTTTCTACCGGAAGTGAAAACGTCTGCGGGTCCTAGAAGTCCCATCCCTCGCTGTTTGAAATCGTTTGACACATCCTCTTGTTCTCTTTCCTGAACTCTCTACTGATAGATAGGCAGGGGATATAGAGGAATAGTGGTATTGAGAAATTGTTAATCAATATACCTAATATTTTTCTGTCAAGTCCCTTTGTCAAACTTTTTTTTAAATTATTGTTAATTAATATTAGATTGAAAATAATTTTCAGAAAACTGTAAGTAAAAATCCAAATAAAAATTTTAAAAAATCTGGACAAAGTTATGTAAATAGCAATTTTAGCCATTAATGGGAATGTATATGTTACCGTTAAAGAGTGAAATCCGTTATTTTATAGAATACCTAGGTATTTCATGATATAACTGTTTATTAAATTATTGAATTCTACGGTTTAACTAGGCATTCTATATGGAATAACGATTACTTGATTGTTAAAATATGAAATACAGCACTCGAAAGTTCTTTGTACAAATTCTAACTGTTTTTAATTAGTTTTGAGACCTTTATAGCTGCTTTGGAATGACGTGTGTGTGCGTACTGTAATGATTTCTCTCAGCTCTGGGTTAACTATTTATTTCAATATGAAAATCATCAAAATAATAAATAAAAGGGTATATTCTATTACAGTTCAATATATCAATTTCGAGTCTCTTTCGCACTATCTTCCATTCCTGGATTTTCCAAGCCAGGAGACCGCTGTACTTCGCGGGCTGATCCGTAATCACTTCGAGTCTCTTCCGTACTCTCACCCGTTTCCTCGATCTTTCAAGCCAGGAGACCGCTGTACTTCGCGGGCTCGTTATCGCTCTTCCTATCGCTCAAGGGACGTCCGAACCGCTCCCTTCAAAGATCCAGTCTTTTTCGTCCGGACTCTCTCGCCCTTTTTATATCATCTGTTTCTCCTAGTCAGCCACCGCTCATCTCTTTGTCGGCCTCAGTCCCCATGGTCCTGCTGCCGCCTTCCGGTCTCGGCTCCCTTGATGTCGTACCCCTCTGCCGCGCCAAATCCGGTCTCGTTTCCGCTAGCCCCAAAGAGGCGCCAAGGCTGGGTGTACATTTGTATGTTCTCAGACGCGACGGCGTCACCGAGTTCTGGGAAAATGAACACACAATGATAAGGCGCCTCTTTTTGACAGTCCGATCAGCTGGGCAAAAAAAGGTGCCGAGACTCGACCACCCAGCTACGAAATTCCATCCCAGCAATTAGGGAAATGCCTGGAATTTTTGCAGCTTCTGTCGGCAAGGGATCTGTTGGAAAATAAGGGAAAGAGATATGCTTCGTCACAGTACGTTTCATTCGGTTGCTTTTAAACGTAAAATTTAGGCGGTGTAACTATGTTAGAATTTTAAATTTTGGAAAATGAACAAATATTTGTGCAACCTGCTTCTAAGCAATGACTTCTGCAAGAATGGAACCTGTAAATAAGAAAGATTCAATGCGAGAGATATGAATCTTTATTAAATAAGCGTGGGATTGATTGATTATTAACGTCGCATTGTTTAGCTACACGAGGGCTTTTGGCGACGGACCACGTAATTTTGAACCATGGTCAAGTGACGTGGACGACACCTGAGCTGGCACCCCCCTCTCCTAACTACCACACCACACCAACGGGAGGACGTTTCAGCTCTCGACAGATTTAACGTGCATCGTTGCCCTACACGGCGGGTCTTTAGTGGTACGGGGCTCGAACTCATGACATGCCTGCCATGGTCCGATACCTTAACCACTGGGCTACCGCAGCCCTTAAATAAGCGTGGGAAAAGGGGGGGAAAGTGCTACACTTACTCGTGAAAAATTAACTTTGAGCAGACGTAAAAAGCTGTAAAACAGCACAGAAAAAAGTACCACGTGACTATTGGTTACTCCATCAGTATGATATCCTTCAAGGATTAGAAAAGTTAGTGCCAGAGTTTCAGATGCAAAACATACTCTTTTTTTCCTTTATGTGTAAATAACGTTTACAATATGAGCAAAAAAAATATCACCTGCTTTACAATATTCATCAATTAATCATCCACAATAAGGATAAAATGTATTTTTCGAGAGGTTTTAGCTATTTATGATCAATTAATTTATAAAATAGCTTTGAAATTGTTTATTTTTCACTTTAATGGTCTATCATTAGTTATTTTATACAAATGACGGGGAAAAGTACGATATTTTTCATCTATTGTACACTTTAATTGATTGTTTAGTTATTTCATGAAATACTTAATTATTCTATCAAATAACTGAATTATACACTTTAATGGCAACATATGCTTATATATTCATAATTTTTTTCAAGAATCAAATTTTTAAAAAACGTAATACAATATACATCCAACATAATTATTTTTTCCGCTGATTATGAGGCTGAGGTAGCCTAGTGGTCAAACTAATGGACTCGTGGCCGGCGTGTCATGAGTTCGAGTCTGGTACCACTGAAGACACTATCGAGAGCTCAAACGGTGTGGTAGTTAGGACAGGGGGTGCCAGCTCAATTGTCGTCATTTGACCATGGTTCAGAATTACGAGGTCCGTCAAAGAAGTCCTCAAGTAGCTGAATAGAGCAACGTTGATATTCAGTCACTCACTATTCCTCTGATTATACATGGAAAACGATTATGTGTTTCCGTTAAGGCTATCTTTTCGGCTAATGTTAAAGAATAGGGGTCAAATTCGGAATATTTTTTCAGATATAAAAGTACTCACACACACACACACAAGCATTAATATTATATTCTGGCTACACTATCCTGTAGAGAATCACTTATTTTATCATACTACTCATTTTTATACGAGTTGACACATTTTTTCTTTTACAAAATGTGTTTTGCATTTTTTTTCCTATACCGTAACGCTTAATGAGCTATCCCCTCACACGTTAAAAGGAAAAACTAATTATTTATGAAATATTTTGAAACCTTAAAACACTATATATTATAAACAAATGCATGAGTTACAATGTCACAAATTTTTATAAAAATTGAGGCATTTTTTCTGTTCGAAAATGTGCTCTGCGTCAAGTTCACGCTCTCGTACATATGGCGAAAACAGCCTTAAGGCTGACTTCGGTTAGTGTTCAAGAATAGGACCCGAATTTGGAACATTTTTTCAGATATAAAAGAA